AGATGCAGTTTTATAACGAAAACAGACTAGAAAAAGGTTTACATACCAATCATAGATGGCAGGACCAGTGCTGAAGTGAAAGGAAAAATCTTTAAAAAATTTTTTGAAAAAAACATTTCTTCTTAGAGGGCGCTTATTTATAGTCTAAAACGTATTTTAGGAATTTTTTTCATTAAATTTCTCTTTAAACTTCATTAAAGAATACAATTTTGTACGAATAATTGAATGTTATGCTACTATTTATAAAAATAAAATCAGAAATCCATTAAAAGATAAGTTCTCTATCATTTTTTCAATTCACAAATGCACACTTGCAATGCCTACTAAGAAAGTTAGTACCGGTAGTCATCGGGTTAAAGTGATGATTCCAGCTGACAGACTAATCTTTAAAGTGATGGTTACATTTGAAAAACTAACCTTTAAGGTAATGGTTCCAGCTGACAGACTAATCTTTAAAGAAATGGTTACATTTGAAAACTAACCTTTAAAGTGATGGTTCCAGCTGACAGACTAATCTATAAAGTGATAGTTACAATTGACAGGTTAATTTTTAAAGTGATGGTCCCAGCTAACAGAATATTTTTTAAAATGATACTTCTAGCTAACAGACTAATTATTAAAATAATGATTTGAGATGATAGATTGGTTGTCAAAATTATTCCAGTTGACAGACTAATCTTCGACTTCATGGTTTCACCTTTAAACTAATCTTTACAGTGATAGTTACAATAATCTTTAAAGTAATGTTTCCAGCTGACAGATTAATCTTTTATGTGATGGTTCTAATTGACAGAATAATCTTTAAAATAAGGGTTCCATCTGACAGACTAATATTTTAAGTGATGGTTACAAGTTACAGAATATTCTTTATATTGATAGTTCCACGTGACAAACTAATATTCAAGGTGATGGTTACGGTTGACAGACTGATTTTTAAAGTGATAGTTCCAGCTGACAGAGTAATCTCTAAAGTAATGGTTCTAGTTGACAGACTAATCTTTTAAGTAATGGTTCTAGTTGACAGACTTATCTTTAAGTCGATTGTTACCTCTGAGAGGATATTCTTTAAAGTGATGAATACGGTTGGCAGGCTATTCTTTAAAATAATTCTTCCAGTTGTAATCTTATCTTTAAATTGATGGTTCCAGGTGACGGAGTAATCCTTAAAATGATGGTTATAGCTGACAGAATTATTTTTAAAGTGATGGTTCCATCTGACAAACTAATCTTTAAAATAATAGATCCAGGTGATAGAATAATCTTTTGATTTTTAATTGAAAAATAGCCTCATTACCAGTGTTCGTTAGACTCGTCACCAAGAGTAAAAGAACAAAGAAATAAATTAGCTCAATAAAAAGTTGGGATTGACATCTTTTATTTTATCAGCATCCACGTGATGGGACAATAACTTAATCAGTGAGAAACCTAGTCGTTTTCAAATATTTAATGAACTTTCTTAAAGAGGATGAGTTGCATGTAGTAGAAATAAACTAGAAATACATACACAGCATTTTAATATTTTTTATGGCACAACAAAAGAAGTACAAAACTCTAAATATGTCTTCAGTGTGAGACAACCGTTAAGGTGAGTTGGATACATTTGTCTCACCTTATACTATAAAACATAATACGTCGAAACCTATAAAAGATGCAAGTATACCCAGTAGTGCTATATACAAAACTATGACATATATAATTCCACAAGAAAAAAGTTTATAATCGGAATTGCCTTAGAATTGGCCCTATATGCGTTGTAAATAATCCGCCTACAGCAGTCGTGGTAACCTTTCCGATTAAGCATACGGAAAAAATAAAAACAACAATGGTGAAAATTTCCATCTGTCCTTCACAGATTATGTCAACTGGTATTAACCCGTATAGCTGGAAAAATACTCTAATATTCTCCTCATTCTGCATTTGAGAATGCGTCTCAAAAGACTTAGGTTTTGCAAGGTGTTGTATTTTCTCTCTCTTGATTTAGCAAGTCGTAAACACCATTAAAACATCACAAATGATTTATATTTTCATTACAGATAAGTTAGCAAAACAAAAAACGGTTTAAAAAAAGCTAAAATGAAATCTAAAAAAAAAACGAGACTCCTTCATCTCACCTTTTCTACATTTTTAGGCTCTTGGAACACTGCAACTGGGCAACGTAAAAAGAATGTTTAAAATATGATACTGATTTATCTTTACATTGATACAACAAAATAATTAAAAATAATTTTGAAGTAATATTAAAATATATGCAAAGAAATATGGGCAAAATATGTGACAAAGCGATATGTGAAGTATGTATTATTTAAAATTCGATTTCTTTCTTTGGATCAAATATCATGCCTTACGTTTTTGGCCATAGTGTTGGTTACCATTTTACAACCAAACAGAAATAATGATGCTGTATAACACTTACATTCCCAATATTTCTTCTAAGATTCATTATTATTCGTCCTAACTATAGAAACTCGTATTTGAGTCTGAACGCATATATAGAAAACTAGATGAGTGGTTATTGCTAAACCCTTATAAATATACAGGAAAAAATAATACTTTAGATATTTTTAGTTTAAAACTGTCTACTAAATTAGTGGATTTCTTTTGTAATGACAAAGCCCTTTCCACTTGAACATGGCTTCTTTCCTTAGAATTTTGAGAAGATTGCAACAAGTTAGTTAGTATTCTCGTAGTCTTAATGAAAGCCTTCTATTTAGTTTATTTTTTTTGTCGTATAAGAATTAAGAAGCAGAGCCAAAGGTATTGAGCAACCAAAGAAAGTACAACTGGTGAACAAAGTTACAAAGCTGCATATTTCTATCATTATAGCATGGTTATGAGAACTTCACGTATCAACGCTTACCCTATAGAGACTGCTATCAGGGCTGCTAGCACTTATCCATCAGTAGGCTTTACAGGGACTGCTATTAGGGCTGCTAGCACCTATCCATCAGTAGGCTTTATAGATACTACTATTAGGGCTGCTAACACCTATCCATCAGTAGGCTTTATAGATACTACTATTAGGGCTGCTAAGCTCTAACTACCAGTCTCTATAAAGCCTACTGATGGATCGATGCTAACAGCGCTAATAGTAGTTTCTATAAAGCCTACTGATGGATAGGTGCTCTAGCACCTATCCATCAGTAGGCTTTATAGAAACTACTATTAGAGCTGCTAGCACCCATCCATCAGTAGGCTTTAAAGAGACTACTATTAGTTGCTCACGTAATTGTTGTTCACGTTTTAATATTCGCATTGTATTAAGGGAAGGGGTAAGATTCATTCACAAGAAAATATAACCAAGTACTCGGAAAATAAACAATAATAGAAAAAAGCGACCATAACGTTAGTTAATGAATTTAATAAAACCTCTACTTATTACCAATATTTTTAGTTAATAAATTTAATAAAGCCGTTGTTAACAATGAACTGTCCTTATTAATAGAATTTATTTCAGTACTCAAATTCAATTTTAATTTTCTTTCATATATATATATATTATAAGCCATTTTTAAGCAAATCTTTTTCCTTATAAGCAGTATCTTTCAACTGGTATCAAATATCTACCGTATAGACTTGCTTAACATTATTTTAAATTAATTAAAGTATCTGACTGTACAGAAATTTAAAGATTGAGAAAAAATGGTCTTATACCAACATGATTTTATAATTATGCTAAATATTGTAAAATATTTGCATTTTTCATTGAGCAATGTTTAAACGAGTCTAATTTAAATCCTTTGTAATAACAAATAAACATACATTAACTTCTGGTCTAATATTAGTCATTAGAAAAACAACGAAAAGTATAAGAATTTCTCTTAAAATCCAAAAGCGTACATTTTGTAGAAATCTTTCGAAATTTTGAGTTCGGTATAAAATGAGAAAACCCTTGATTAAAGAATTTTTAAATGTGGAAAAATAAAATGAAACATATCAAAGGTAAATATTGTATATTACGTAATATAAAAAAAATAACATTTATATCGTCCATAGCTCAAACCTCAGAATTAAAACTATGGAAATCATATAATTTTGAACGTTTATGGATATGACGTAAGGAAAAAAATTAAAATACTTGGTTTGTAAATTCTAATTATTTTTTCTTGTTCCCGGAAAAAAAAAGAATTCTGGACTACACTCTTTATCAGTCCTCTTCTTTAGATTCCTGAGAAGAACCAAATCACTTATAAATCTTAGCCATCAGAAACTACGTGTTCATTCAGGTACAATATTAAGACACAAGTTCGGTAAACTGATTAGCGACGACTTTTAAATGTTGTATATGGATATCTTAATTTTATGTTTAACGCCAGATGACGCCACGAGACAGAAAACAACAGTGGGTACCCGATCTCCAAAGACTAGCACACTAGCACTGTTCGCAGCAAAACAAAACTTTCAAGTCATGTTCATTTGTTATTAGTTGTCACATAATTCATTTACATTTTAAAATGCGTTTAATATTGTTTGAATATTTTCAATATCTAAACATTAAAAAATAGTGTTGGAAGTCTAGATGGCATTAGTTACTTTGTGTGAATCGGTAGCACTTGAGGTTGAGTTGAAATAAAATACCCACTGATAGAAGGAGACACATGGTGATGGTGGTAGTAACAGTTGACTAAATTGCTGGTAGGGGTTTCAGTATTTTGTGAAAAGGATTTTTTCCTCGATGAATATCATAGGGTCTTCGAATTTCATCTGAAAAATAATTAAAACCAACGTTATGAACAACAACGTCAATTTTATAAAGTACACTAGCGAATCCGTGGGCCATAGGCCCACGTTTACGGGGAGGCCTGGCATGTCCCGTTGATTAGGGCGCTTGACTCACAATCTAAGGGTTGCGGGTTCGAATCCCCGTTTCACCAAACATGCTTGCCCTTTCAGCCGTGGGGACGTTATAAAGTGACGGTCAATCCCACTATTCGTTGGTAAAAGAGTAGCCCAAGATTTGGCGGTAGGTGGTGATGACTAGCTGCTCTCCCTCTAGTCTTGCATTGCTAAATAAGGGACGGCTAACGCAGATAGTTCTCGTGTAGCTTTGCGCGAAATTCAAAACCAACCAAATATTTACGGGGCCTCTATAATGCAAATTTAATGCTTGATGTACCATTTTGCACTTTTTCAGTTTACTGTTCATTGCCACTATAATACAAGTTTAATTTATTTCACCAAGTTACGAACAGTGATTAGTAGGCCTTCTTATTTACTTGCTCTGGTGTAAATCAATGCCAAATTTTGGGTCCAATTTCGGGGAATCCCCGTAAAAGTGTTTTTGCGAAATACCTGGGTTCCCTAAGAGGATGATGAAAAGTTTTACCTTTGTGCAAACCTCGGGACCCAGAAAATCGTTTGGTACCACTTAAAAGTTTAGGAGAAGTTACGTGACACAAACATACAGAGACATTAGATAATATTGTATAGATTATTGTGAACAAAATGCAACGTTATGGACACTCAGAAAAAAAGATGAATTGCAAACATTTTTAAAATGCACAATATTTGAAAAAACTATATATATTGGTTAGCAAAAGTTAGGACAAAGGAAAGCCTTTTGCTTGCTTTAGAAACAATATTTTTCTGAAATTCATAACAAAGACGACTTTTGAATGCTTATATGCGCCTAAAGCAATTTGCAAATATATCTGTTAATACACACATTTAATTAGATTTAAATAGGTAATTTTTTAAATTTTGTGAACTGTTAGAAAATTCCTAAAATTTGTTATAAGCCATGTTAATATATTTTACAAAAATCATAGGTTAGAAATAATTATATACATTAAGACTGACGGAAAGAAGAACATAAAATAGAACATAAATTAGAAATAATTACATACGTTAAGAGGGGTGGAACGAAGAATATAAAATAAAACATAAGCTAGAAATAATTATATACGTTAAGGGGGTAGAACGAACAACATAAACAAGAAATAATTGTATACGTTAAGAGGGGGTAGAACGAATAACAACTAAATGAACATAAAAAGGACAAAAGTAGAAATACTGTCTTTAACTCTGGAGGACTTTTCAAAAAGGGCTAAATACTCGTGTTTTGTAAGACAAAAAAAATCATACTGATCTTATTCCATTAACTGTTAAGAAGCCTCACAAGATAACAGAACTTTTAAACAAACTTGAAGCTAAAAAAAAAATCAAGCGGTGGTTTACGGAGGGATGTGCAGAAAAAGGGACCAAGATTTAGTGATACTAAAGTACCTAAAATGATACACCTCTTACCTTTATTTACTTCTGTACATTGTAGCCATTCTTCCAAGTTCACATTTTTGTCGTCATCACCTATTTTGTCGCAGTACCAAAGTAAATTTCTCCAGCATTTTTTGAGTCGCTTCCGGCTTCTTTTAGACTTTCTAAAAGTCCTCCAAGAACCGCGAAAGGTTTTCCATTCTTTACCTAGTCGCTCAAGAATCTGTCAAGTTGAAAATAATTAGTTGGAAAAAAAAGGAAACAGACTTAAATACATTTATAAAAATTATTTTTTTTCAGTAAGTCATTTTTAAGTACTTACTTCATTCATTCTCATTGGATGTAATTAATTTTTATTAACGTGAAATAATAAACAAATATTTTCATCTGAAAACACGATTACAGTTTTTAAATTAAATATAACAACCCATCGACGAGAATGCAGTATCAGTCATAGATATATGATTATTAAACTCTTTTTATATATTTATATATTTTGCTGAAGTTTATAATTAAGATGTATTATTTACAAATTTTTTACTTTTTTCACAATTTTGAAATTACTATAATCTAATTCGAGATTTCTGATTTCTAAGGAAACAATTGAAGGGATTCGTAAAACCCGTATTACGTTTAATACATTAGTTTGTTCGAACTTCTCCAAGTACATTCTGTCTACAATTGAAGGGATTCGTAAAACCCGTATTACGTTTAATACATTAGTTTGTTCGAACTTCTCCAAGTACATTCTGTC